GCCGAGCGAGGGCGGCCGGCGCGGGGGGCGGCGGGGCGGGGGGGCTCGGTGCCCGCGGGGGTCCCCCGGGGCCGCGGTGCTGGGGGGGCACCGCGGGGGAGCCGGTACCGCGGCGGCCGCCCCGCTCCTGGGAGCTGCAGGGGAAGGAGATGAGATGCTTTTCTGTTCTGTTCTTGGCCTTTCTTTCCTTTTCCCTCTCCCTCTCTCCTTCGCCCTTTCTCTCCCCTGGGTGTCAGCAGGGGCCGTTAGCACTGAACTGCTGGGGTGTCACCCCGAGCCCCCAGTTCAGGCTGACATCTGGGTGGTTCCCACGGCCCTTCCCGACGCGGGGGGAGTTTGCCTTTCGGCTTCCCCCCGGGCTGGGCCGGCCTGGCCGGGAGAGCCCCTGGGTAAAGGAGCCCCAGGGGTCCCGCAGTGAGTAACCCAAGGGCAGGTGTCCCCCCGGGGGATAACAGCGGGGACCCCTCGCCGGAGGGGCAGGGTCTGTCTGGGAGGGGGACGCCCTGGGCAGAGTTCCCTGCTGGGGAAGGACCTCCCGCCTCCCTGGGACCGGGCTGCGGGCAGGTCTGGCCTTGGGAGACGCGGGCTGTGTGGAGATCCAGTCTGGGCCTTCCTCGGCCTGATGTGCTTGGCTCCTTGACTCGCTTGGCTCCCGTCCCTTCCACGGGAAACTGCGTTTTTATCCGTTCCTCCCACCCGCTGTTGGTCCTGCAGCGTCGTTGTCGGGGCCCGTGGGATTGATGTCGGGGATGTATAGTCTCGGTGACTTGTCTGTACCCGCAGCGCTCACCCGTGGACTGACCCTTTTGTATCAAACACAACTCGGTTATTGGTTCATCTTTATGCCGGCTGTGCCCTTTAGGCTAGGCCTGGTAACTGGCAGAACAAGCACTGAGGTTACGGACGGCGCGGCCGTGTGGTTTACGTGCGGTTTACGTGCGGTTGTATTAAACCTCTGTAGCTGTTGGCTAGTTAAGTGCGGTTCCTCGCGCTTAGAGCTCTCTGCCTTGTTCTCCCTGCGCTGCAGGCAGAGGCTATCCCCGGGCTCATATAAACTCACACAGGCTGTGGCCGAAGACTGTAGTATCCCTTTTTCATTGTCTGGCAGCAGAACGTGAATGTTTCCTACAGAGCCCACTGCTTTTACCTGAAACCTGATCTGTCCCGTACGGGTTAGTTGTGTTATAATAAAATACAGTGATAGTGTAAGGGAAAAGAAACCAAGGCAGGCAATGAGTAAAAGCAGACAAGCCCTGCAAAAAGTTTTTACAAGGAGCACTGTCATCTGTTGCATGCATTTTATAACTCTGCACAAAACTTAAAAAAAAAAAAGATGCCAAACACACGGTTGAGGTGCCTTGTAAGATCTGAATGCTGATGTTCTCAGTTGCCTATAGATGGACTGTTGTTTTGCCGTGGTTGTTGCTGTGTGAGCCCCTGTGAGTGCCCAGATAGGAATGTGTAATTGTTTCCTCCCGAGGTGGGAAATGGACTCAGTGGTTGCGGTGAAGTCACAGTTGATTTGTGCTAGAGAACGGCCGTTGAACTGGAATGTGCATCGCGAGTCCCACAGTCTTGCCTCAATGACTTACCCGTGTTCGTGTAGTTTTTTTGATAGTTTGGTGTCAGTGTGGAAACTTCCTACATACCCAGTTGCAGGGTTTGGGTGTAAAGCTATGGAGCATTTTCTCTACAAAGACTAGTACTAGGAGAGAATTTTTTGATGTGATCTCCTCAAATGTTTTCATGTGACAACAGCAGCTCTCAGGTGATGGACTGACTGTGTGTAGTGCGGTGAGCTGTAGCTTTGGGTGAAAGTACAGAAGTATCCAGCAGGCCCCTGGGCTCTGTGCTGCCTGGGACATGGTGATTCGAAGCAGAACCCCTGCAGCAATGACATTGTGCAGCTGATGTTCCCCTGCCATGGTTAGCCGTGCCAGCAACACCTGGGCCCCCGGGAAAGGTGAAGGCACCTGGCACAGGCAGGAGGGGGGTGGGGGGGGTGATGTGCTGTGCCGGGGGGGTGACAGCAGCTTCTGCCCCTCTGCGAGCAGCCAAATAAACCCACGTGTGGGGCTTCGAATTTTGTCCGTGTCCTGGGTAAGAGTTCCAAATTCTAGAGTGTCCCCTCACTGTATTTACTGTGGTGCTGAACTCCCCTGGCTCAGTTATTTATTTATTCATTTGACGTGTTTTGCATGCATTTTTTACTGTATGACTGGTGAGTAGAGAGGAGAAGAGCAAAGTTTTGCTCTGAATTCTTGGGCAGGTTTTGGCCGTTCAAGCCTGTGACAGAACTGCTCCTGATTTGAATGGGAGCCTTGGTGACTGTTTGAACAGATTTGTAACTTCAAAATACGCAGGCTGGGTTCTTGATGCCCAGCTGAACGTGTTGTGGCACACGTACAATGGAAAGGGAATAACAGCAGTGCTGCCAACAATAAGGTTGCCTTTCATTTTCTTTAACTACTTTAATCTGTGCAAGGAAAGTATTTATTCTGCTGTTAACACAGAAATTGAAAATAAGAATCTATACGTTGAAAGGGTGAAAGCGCTAACAAGCTCCTTTAATTTGCCGTGTTCAGAAATGTTACAAACTCCCTTGGTAAGCAGAGTCTTCCAGTGACATATGAACGTGTTTCTCTCGCTATCGGTGTCCGGCAGGAAATGGCGATAGGGAAAATGATGTGGCTTTCCACACACGGATTTAAAGCGGTGCTGCAAGTGGCTGTAGGTCCTGTCAGATGTGCAGACCTCTCGGGCCCCTTGAGAGCAGATGGTGCCTTCAGCTGGGAGTGCAAGGTATCGACTGGGCATCAAATGACACAGTAGCTATGGCTAATGAATATCAGCGCACATTAAATGTTAATATTTCCCGATACTTAAGCGTTGTTGGGACACAGGGGATCTATAGCGAACGGCATTTACAAATTGCTGCCATGTAACGCCCCCGTTAGCCGCAGTGTGCCCGTGGAAGTGCAGACGCTGTGCTGGAATCAGTGGCTGGTGGCTGCTCGGATGTTTGGGGAAAAAAAGGGGTATGTGAGGGCAGAGCCGTGTGTCTGCCAGAGGCAGCCTCTGAAGGGGCTGCAGTTGCTCCCCTGCTGTCCCCCTCTCTGTCGGAGGTGAATGAGCTGCAGGTACCTCCTGTGCTCTGGGTTTTGCAGTTTCCAGCACAGCAGGAGATGTGGGGGAGGGATGTGGGGGGCGAAGGTGCCGCAGGGTTCTGCCTCGGTGTAAGCACCGACATAACGTGGGGTGGTTTTGTGGGATTTCTGCAGGGGTTTGTAGCTATAGTTAGTGCAGCGATTGTGCTGCGGGTAGGAGACTCCAGCATCATCATCGGTTACCGTTTTGAAGCTCTTTTCTTTGAACGTGGCAGCTGTAGGCTCTGTGGGAAATGTTGGCCCTGTAAGCCAGCGCAAAACTGCTGCTGATTTTAATGAGGTCTCTTGATTCTATCCTTAAACAATACTTGAGGGTCTGTTTGCTTTGTACAGCATTTATTTTCATCAGGGAATGATTTTCAGCGGTTACTGAGCCTGTACGGTTTTGATGGGTTTTGTTACATCATTAAATTAAAGGAATATAGAGAAATTAGTTTGTCAGCTGTTAAGAGCTGACACCGCAAATGGCTTTTTTTTATCTGCTACTCTTTATTTTATAGTGAGCAAACTCTCTGGGGCATCTGCTGAGATGGGGAAGGAAAGAAAAATCAGCTGTTCTGCCTTTGTTCTAGTCTACCGCCAAAGGGCTGTTAGAAAAAATTCAGGGATTAGTCACATTAGCCACAAGGTAATCTCGATCCTCTCTAAATCCTCGTTTTAAAATTAACATCCTGATCTGGGTCAAATCTGGTTTTGGTGGCTGACTGTCTGTGGCGGGTCTCAGCAAATTTCACACCAGTCTTTAGTAGTGGCTTATGGCCCTTAAAAAGGGTCTAAGGGGCAGTTGTTCATGAAGGATCGATTTTGGTACAGATTAAACTTTCATGGGGCAGAAATCGGACCCAGAGGCTGCAAGGCTGTTTTAGAGTGTCAGCTCTGCAGCTCTGCTAGGCTTTAATGTACAGAAAAGTGAGTTTGAACTGTTTCCATCCCGTGTTGGACATGAGCTAGGAGCATGCAAACAGCCCCCTGAGGTGGCGCAGCTAAAGGCCTAAGAACTTGGTTATGCCTCTGACTCCTCTTTGTCAGGAGACACATCATTTATAGCTGTAACAGTTTCAAATTAAGAGTGTCAGCGGGTGAAGAGGACTAGGCTGTGATGAGGCTTGAATGAAGTTTTTAGCTAACCCACCCGGTGAGGTGCTGACAGGGATACATAACGTTGCCTAGACACGGTAAGGATCAGCTCTCTGGGGTAAATCCTGCGCACATACTGTGCACGTCCACACGCGTGTAAAATTCCCATGTTCTGGTGACAGCCAGAAGGGAAGGTGTGGAGCTTTCCGTTGAAAGCTGCGCTCTGTTCTGGATGTAGAACAGCAATAGTGGATGCTTCAGAAGAAAGGATTTCTTTCCTTTGCTGGCTCTAGTACAGTAAAATGCAAATGTAAGTTCACAGCTTCTAGAATATACTGCCAGACCTCCAACTGCTTAATAAGCAGAGGCGAGAAAATAGCAGAACGCTCGTACTCACCCTGGTTTTAAGGAGTTTAATGTGTTGTGGGCAAGATGTTTCTGAGAAGTGTGCCTTGGCAATTGTATTGTAGCCTCAGTGCAAGGAGGCCTGAGGATGCTGCTGTTCACTAAAGAAGGGTGAGCAAGGAGTTACTGTGGGAAACAGGTGTCAGACTTGTAGAGTTTGTTTTCTCATG